TCAGGGAATTCCTGAGCTGGATGTTGCCACTGAAGCAGTGTGTCAATGGCCATGGATGGAGTTAGCTTCTCTGGATTTGCCAGTCCCTTTCTGAGCCTGCCTGAAATGTTGACCTCTAGTGCATCTTACGACAGTGACTTCCTTGGTTTAATTATGCCCCATGGGGAGGAAGTCTTGTGTTCATTAGTCTGAAACCAGCTGCCTCATGTCTTCACTGTGAGCTAGTACTTTTAAAATTCTAAGAAAAAAAAAGAAGAAAATGTATGTCCCTTTTCACCTTCTCAGTGCTACTGATAAATACTGCTATGTGATTTAATGGGGAAGAGTAATTCAAGAAAGTCTTAATTTTACTAATGACAATCTCTCAAATTAAATATATTATCAGAGAAACATACATTTTGGTCTGTCTGGTGTAAAAATAGTCAACAGTATTAATTAACCATTTCTCAATGGAACTTTAATTTCTTTTGCTTTTTCCCATCCATGTTTTCCTCCTTTGCATGCTGCTAATGGTCCCATGCCTTTACCGTGGGAAGATCTTCAGAGAATTCTGGCCTGAGACTGCTGATAAACTGTTGCTTTTCACATGATACCATCTATATGTCATATATTAATCCAGCTGTTACCCAAGTGATACAGCTGTCAGAACACATTTTTCCAGAAGGAGGCAGAAGAATGGAAGTTTATTGTACCTTTGTTATCCCAGTGTAAAATCTGGATAACTCCACATTACTGGCGTTCCTTTAGCATTAGAAGGTTAACTAATGTGGCAAAGGACAATCAGGTCGTATATTTAGAGAGCAGCAGTCATTCACAAATACTGAAAGGGCGTGTACGCTGTAACACTCACACCAGCACTAAGCGAACGGGAAAAAACCAAACTGAGAAGCAGCATTTGTTTGAAGTGAAAGGGTACCTACGATTTACTTCAAGTACAGCCAAGTCTTCATGGTGAAACTGCAAGTCACTGAGTAAGAGCTGGAAAGGCAAGGTCCAAAAGAGGTATGTCTGTCTTTACAGTACAAAGTGCAACCAACCGCACGTACGGATGTTATGAATGTCTTCAATTACATTTTGACTTGTAAGTAAAAAAACGGCATGGATTGCCTATCAAGGAACATGAAACAACAGGATATCAAATTAAAAGCCATTTAATTTCTAAATTTTAATGTTAATATGAAGGTAAAAGGAAAGAGTCATGGATAGGGAAGAGTTTCCGGAGCCACATTACTGTGACTAAGGGAGTGGAAATGTGGTTAAGCAACTCCAGCGGAGAGAAAGTTCTGCAAGCAGGGCTGTCATTTCTCTTTTCTAGGAATGGTTTAAACTACCTTTTCCTCACATTTATTTCACTACTGTTCTTTGAAGTTCCTATGGATTTTCTAAGCTCCCTGCGTGCTATAACTTGTTCATAGTATACATAGTATAAATAGTATATATGCTCACGGTATATGAGTCGGAAACACCAAAAAACCAAACCAAAACAAAAGGATTGGGTTTTGAACCTTATGGCTTCACTCTGGAATTCTTTGGTGGGCTTTTCTTTCTTTCCATTCATTTGACTTTGTTTTAGGAATCATGAATAAATAGCATTGATAAAGCTCTTTAGAAGATGGGAAAACAGCTCATATATGAGCACTAAATTGTAAGGCTGGTCACTTTCCCAAGGCAAAAGTGTGCTAGATCAATGTGGAGTTAGTGCTACTTTTTAGATGTGCCTCTGAGGAAACAGGGAATTTTGAATTGCTACTATCCTTAGATATATAAGCTCTTTAAAGAATAATCCTAATAATCCAATCAAAATAAAACCAGGATAATGGGACGGATACAAAGATCAGGCAGTCAGCTTAACTCAAAAGGAAAAAAAAACATAGAAAATGTCCCGTGATGGAATAAAAGTGTATCAGCATTTCAAACACTTATTGCAATGATACAGAGAGCAATCTACAAAACTTTTACTATTTCACATGTTATTTATTTTCAGTCTGAAAAAGAAAATATTTTTCCTACATGACATAAGCTTTTTCTTGTGTAGACCTTTGAAGCGATGTCTATCCTTCGCTGCCTCAGGCTGCTGGGAGCTTTAGTTGTGTCTTTTACTAGAGGATGAATAGTCTAATGAAATATTAATGCCAATGTAATGTTTAGAAGTGATACTATCCCAATATATAAAACAAAGGAACGGCCTATAATAAAAAAAATTCTGTCTAAATGAATTGTTCAGCTAAATCAACGTTTCCTGAGCTGAAAAGACCTCCAATGCTTGATAACTTTTTTGTGTACGTTAAAAAGGTTTGCTACTCAGCTATAGCTCAGAGTACTCCTCCCAGTAGCACACTGCCTACACTTGCAGTGGCTTTAAAAAGGGTGAACTTTTAACTTTGTGAGTGTGTGATACCCAAAGATAAACTTGCGTAACTTATTTGAAGAAACCTGATCCTTGCACTCACGCTTTTCATTTAGTGAGTTAGCACTTTCTTTTGGGGTCATATTCAGCGGCAACCATCCTCCTTGAGCTCTTGCAACTCACCTCTATTATCTTGCACACTTGAGGTGCTGCAGGTACAGGTGTTTTCTTTTTTTTTTTTCCTTTTTAACTTTCACAGCTTTTCTTCCTGATAAATGTAAAATGAGTCTGACTCAGCATGTTTGGGCACTTTAATTTTATTTACATGCTTTTTTAAAGAGTGCATCCTTATTTAAATACTATCAGGAGGCTGCTTTCTTCCCTAATTGTTTGAGATGATGGTTCAGAAACCTTTTGTTTTCTCTCCTGAGGTGAGAAAGACCTCTCAGGAAGAGGATTCAGGAGAGTCTATTGACAGCGAAAGAGCCACACAGCAATATTTTTATATTTTTCTGGTTGTAGGTACAATTTTCTAAAAATTATTGTTTGGTTTTCAAATAAATGCTCAAGTGTTTGTAGGTGGAGATGGTGGAAAACCAAGGCCAAGGTTTACAGACCGTCCTAAAAGAATAGCTTTGGTGGATGTAAAAGAAAGGGATCCATTTTTTAAGGAATGTTTCAGTAGCATCTTAGAAATGGAAGAAGATACTGTTTGTATGCATGCTATGGCAAACATAGAAACACTGATGTTTTGACTGTGCTACAGAGCCTGCAAGTCTATAGGGTTTACAAACCACAGGGGCCAACAGGCTTATGTCTGGAGCTCATCTGCTATATCTGCACCTTTAAATATTTCACGTTTTACATGTTGCTTTACATTTTACCACATAATTTAAATGTTTGCAATTAAAACCTTTAAGAGTATATTGAGTGGTAAAGGCATTGTGTTTGTGTTTCTGGAGTTCCCTTTAATATTCAATTGCTGGTTTTGTTATATTTTCTGATTTTGATCTAATAAAAAGGAAATAGTTTGTGAATGGAAAACTAGTTATCTACTCTTTCCTATTATATATTTAAATTGTATTTTGTCTTATGTGCTTGTCTATTAATGCATTTTTTCCTGGTTGACTTATTTTAAATTAGAAGTGCTACATGTGAGATTATAATACGTGGGAAAAAAACCCAAAACCTCTGGGTGGATATGGCTTATTAAAAAAAAAAAAAAAAAAAAAAAAAGAGAGGATTAGTATAAATATGAGCCTAGATTTAATACAGCTTTCAAATAAGATAGTTTGTCTTGAATTAATCTGTGAAAATGAAATCTCACAGGATCTGGCAACCCTAGCCTTGATGATATACTGAATTTTAAAGTCTGCAAATCCAGAACATCTTGGTCCCCGGAAATCTGAGCAAATCTCCTGGCTGTAGGGTTGTTTGCTTGTTTGCTTGCTTGCTTGCTTGCTTTCCTAAAGCTGTCCCTTTAGTGCCACAACAATTTAAGTGCCACTAGTTCAGGGACCTCGTTTCTCCATTTCTCTCCATGAGTATATTTAGCGTAGTCAAGTTTAGACATCCTTGTTTCTGTACTAGCAAAGTTTTCTTACACGATTTTTCTGTAAAGAGTTTGGGTAAAGCTTTATCTAAATTCTATCCGTGTTCTTTAACAATTTGGAGATGCTCTGTGAATATTCAGATTGGTTATTCAGGTTATTTTGCACCAAAGTGAAGTCAGTTCAGCCAGTTGGTTAGCTTAAGGTCAATGGCATAAAATCATTAACTTGAAGCCAAGGAGCTACATAAGTCTGTTTTAGGTTCTGCCTGCATTTTTTGACCTTTGTGAAGTACTTGTTTATTTTCATTTAAGCAATAGTTTGTAAAACATTAGCCATGCCCTACTGTTACCTTCTTGGCTGAACTTAAAGATTTTTCCCTTGCACTCAATTTTCTTTTTCCTATATCGGAGTTTGAAAGTATTCCTATTTAATGTTAAATAAATGTGACTTTATACTCTGGCTTTCAATGGTATGTTTTTCTTGGCATCTTCCTTAAGTATCCTCCTTCAAAAGTCTGCAATATATGAGGCTAAAGCTGGTTTAGAAGAAGGATTTCTTGAAACTGAAGAAGTCAGCTATGGAACATTTTAATTCTTTGGAAGAAAATATCACATTTAATTTAATTGTAACTATATCTTTCTACACAGTAGCTGTTTTGTTGTTTGTTGTTGTTTATTTTTATTTTTTCCTTCAAAATGTGAAGTTCTGTATTAAGCCTTTACAGTCCTTCCTTACAGGAGGTTATTAATTCCTGAAAAGGATATACATATGGTGAAGAGTGAAAGAATTGGCTTCATTGCTACTTAAATAATTTGCGAGTGTTGCCTGGCTGCTTGGTCATAACTTTATTTTTACTGTATAACTTACCATAGGGCATGGAAGTCTTAGTTATGTACCAGGTCTCCGATGAAGAGTTCATAACATAATTAACTCTAACAAGATTATTATTTATAAAAAAGAACCCAGTGAGCTTATTGACTAACGTTGCATTTTATATCTAACAGTAATCAGCATATTCACAATATTACTGTAACGATTCAAATATTCAGCCGTCTATGATACCAATGTATTTTGATCTTTTCCAGCATGGTATGCTGTGGTATTCACAACTGAATGTTTTTTGCTCTTTAGTATCACACATGGCTAATGAATCACGGCCCTGCCCATGTGATATTGGAGACAGGTTTGACTATGGAGGCCGTGGGCAGGAAGTGCAAGTGGAGCACATCAAGGCGTATGTCTGCAAACCAGCTGCCAGCACAGACAAAGCTGTGATTGTGATTCATGATATATTTGGATGGCAACTCCCAAACACCAGATACATGGCTGATATGCTAACAACTAATGGATACATGTAAGAAATACAACTGTTTTCAAAGAACCTTTGTAATAAGAAAGTTTGTTGAACCAACTTTTTCCTTTTTTTTTTTTTTCTCTCTAAGCCAGACAAATGCAAATAATTTCATAGGCTTTCCTTTAATATTTCTCTAAAGCATTTCCTGTTTGTAAATACATTGTAAGAAGTCTCACATAGTTGAGCAGTCCTACTGTAACAAGATAGTAGGCAGGCACAGAAGAAGAGAGGGGAAATAGAGAAAAATCTTATTCTGCATCTTTCATCCTCCATGAGCCCAAAGCAGCCTGCTTCCTTCCTCCAGATGTAGCATCTGTGCCACTTTGCTCTTAGGGAAAAAATTCCAGAGAAGCTGAAAGTCATTCTGTGAAGGTGAAGTGTATCAGCTTGCACCAAAGAAAGAAGTTTCTCTCATATGTGAAGAGCATATAGAGTATCCTCTTTCCTCTAGTACTGGGTTAACATTAGTTCTAAGCTAACCATATGTACCATGTAAATCGTAGGGTTTTTAAAACAAATTTGGTAGGAACCCACTAAGGATTTTCAATTTCAGTTAACAACTCGTCTAATTAATTAATTAATTTTAACAAGGCAAAATGTATATGGAAGTTATACTAACTCTTCTTTGTAGACATAGAAAAATAATGAGGGTTGCTTGTACAGTGCTTTGATGTAGATTAAATTCTCTGTATATTCAACGATACGAAGTTGTTGTATAGTACCTATGGACTTCCCTTTAATCCTTTCTCAGTATTATTTCATGAGCATAAAATGTTTTCATTTTTCTTGCAGAGCCATCTGCCCAGATTTTTTTGTGGGACAAGAAGCTTGGAAACCTTCTAATGACTGGGCATCTTTTGATGTCTGGCTGAAAACCCGCAATGCCGGCAAAATAGACAAGTACAATTGTTGTTCCTTGTCCAGCGAGTGGACATCCTTCTTTTGCAGGATTTTTTTTCCCCAGTAAAGATGGAAAATTAGATTCTAAGTTATTATTGGTTCATACAACCGGATGTCCACAAACAGAAATTTCATGTGGCTTGTGGGTCAAGCTTATGGTTATGTGAGGGGTGCTTTTTGGAGAAAATTAGAGCTTTGAACAAGAATAAAAGTGCCCACTGTTTACCTGTGCAGAGAGTAGAAGTGAGATGAATGACTCAAAAGAAAAGAACTAGCAAAGGCTAGACAATATAACTCGTTCCTTCCACTTCAATTTGACTCAGTACCCCCAGGCAGGCACAACTTCAATGGATTTCAGATAGGATGCAGACATAGTCACCAAGCACTATTTAACTTGGGAACATTGGTCCTGCTCCCCATCAAATCTCAGAGGGTTCAAAACATACTACTTTCCCATTCTTCTAGCTATATTTTTCCTGGTTTTGTCTGACAGGTAGCTTGATTACATAATGTTACTGGTGATTTTGAAGCAACAATTTCAAATTTACTTCCATAAAATATTTCATAAAATATTAGTCTCCCTAATGACAAATAATGGGATTCTCTTGACTGGCTGTGTCTCTTAAACTTATATTTGTGTAAGCCTGTAAGACAACTATTGCCATTTGTGAAATTAATTGGACTGCTGTTCATAGAATTACCTTAGGTTCTAGTAACAGTAATCTAGGAAGACTGACTTTCTCCTTTGTCTTCTCCCCTAGAGTTTTTCTTCTATTTCAGAAATTAATAATAGTAAACAGCTCTTGTGGCTTATCCCAGCCAGTAGCCAAGCACCTATACTTCCACTCACTCACTCCGCACACGAGGAACAAGGGGAGAGAATAGAAGTAACAAAGCAAGAAAACTCATGGGTTGAGATAAAGACAGTTTTATAAGTGAAGGAAATATAAAAATAATTCTTTTTTTAATGTGATTCAGAGACAGTCACTCATCACCTCCCACAAGCAGATCAATGCCCAGCCAGTCTCTGAGCTGCAGCCACCTTGAAGGCCAGGGGAATAGAGCTAGATTAATTCACTCTCATTTGCATGTCTTAGAGAAGTTGATGTCGTCCTGAAGTATCTAAGGGAACAATGTGGTGCAAAGAAGATTGGTGTCATTGGGTTTTGCTGGGGCGGAGCAGCAGTACAACATTTGATGCTAAAAAATCCTCATTTAAAGACCGGGGTGTCCCTCTATGGTAAGTCTCAAATACCTATTATGTTCTGAGTAGCTACGACCGGTGCAGAAACTTATTCTGTAGGAGAATTATTGTAACAAAATTCAGTGTGACATCTCGTGAAAAAAAAATTATTTTATTATACAAAATCTTAAAGCAAAAAAAATTTGATTTTGCACTTAATCATAACCAGCAAGATCTGTGTATTCAAGCGGCATGGCCACAATCATTTCTGTGCAACTTCGCCTACAAGGGACACCAAACGTCAAGGCCTCACTGTGGCTCAGATTCCTCTTGGCTGGCAAGGATAAAATGGTTTCTGGGCACAACTTTTATATCTTTTTGGAACCAGCAATTACTATGAGGTAAATCTGTGTCACAGTACCTTGCTTACCTCAGTCTGCATAAGTCAGCAGAGGTTGCTGCCCACTGTCTGGTTTTCACTGTTTGGAAAACCTGCTTGACACACATCTGTACTGTTGGACTAGCAGGAAAAGACATGGCAGTAGAGATACGCTGCAACTGTTTTGCTGTCTTTCTGTTAGAGTGCAGGGTCTTTTGCTGATAAGTCATCTGGGCTGGGGGCTGCACAGGTTGCAGATCTTCATGGCATGATATGAACAACTTATAAACTGCTGGCAGTGATCCCTCATGAATATGAACTATTTTTTAACTCTCTGTTTTAACACTTGCACTCTCACACTTCCATTCTTAATGCATTTATGCTACCCTTAATTTTTTTGTACTACATTTCCATACAAGCCAGAGCAATTTATATTCATTTGAAGTGAAAGGAAGTTGAAAGTATTTTCCAGAAGTTTATGGGGACTATTTTGCTGCACTGATTTGCTGATCAGCTGAGTCAATTCAAAAATGTAACTTGATAATTTTTTACTTTTCTGAGGTAATAACTTCAGTAATGAAAAGAGTGACCAGGGAGGTAGCTAGTTAGCTTTACTGTTACTTAAATGTCAATATATTTCAGTAATCAAAACGACAATATCAGTTTGTTATCAGTATAAGCAGTATAATTGTATGTACACTGAAAACCTAACCATGTATCTGGAATGATGAATATTTACAATTATCTTAGAAATGGCCATGCCAGGCTACAGATGAGTAGCTCTGAAGTGTCTGTCTTACATAGGACCCCATCTCTGACAATGGTCAGAAGCAGATGCCCAAAGAAAACCACAAGAATGGGACCAACGTAACAATTCTTCCCTGACTTTCAGGCAGAGCTAGTCTATCTTCAATGACATCCCAAATCACAGGAAATTCTCACAACAAAAGGGAAAGTAAAATTTGTTTAATTGCATTAAAAACTGATCAGCTCTAACTGATCAGAATGTCTTTTATTTTGACCGTCTAGCTTTGATAGTGATTTAACCACTTTAAGTAACGTAACTCATTGTATGTGCCTCTCCTTTAGGAGTGATCAGGTTCTTTGAGGACAAATCCAATTTGCTTCATCCCACTTTCTTCATTTTTGCTGAAAAAGATGACCACATCCCATTGGAGCAAGTGAGTTTCCCATTGAAGATGTTTGTCTTCTTAATGCTTTACATCCTTGTTTTGTAATTTGATATTTAATTAAGAGAAAGTAGAAAACTAATTTGCACTTTTCTTCCTCTTTAATTAACCCTTACAGTAGTTCTACACAAATTTATGTTGTTTATCTTCAAATTACAAAGCTTTACAATGTCATAAAAAACCGTTTTTTGTTTCTATTGCAAAATATGGATGATTTATATATAGGAGGAAAAAGGCAAGAATCCAGAGGAAGAATTCTGTCAGGTTTAAGATAGAAGACCCTCTTTAATCATACTGATAGCGCATAAAATCAACAGAAAGTCCCCACCTGTACCAGTGGAATCACTAGCTGAAGGAGAATTTTAAAATCCTGTAACTATCCTTTTGCTTCCTCCACTGTTCTTCAGAGCATCTCCTTTCTGGTACTCTGTCAGCAGCCTTCTTGGGAAGCCCAGGCAGCAAATGACAGGAAAAAGCTGATTACCTATGCAGGGAATCAAAGAGGAAGATGTTTTCACTGAGTGGTGTTGGCTTTCGTTTTCCTGCCAAACATGCCAGGAGCTTTGAACTACTGCTTCTTGATTTTGTGTCTGTACCTCTCCTCCCTCAATGTCAAATTAAATCAAAATCTTGCCACATTGTTTTTTTTGTGATGTCTATCAGCATTGACTTGTACAGTGGCCAGTACATGCTAACCTTTTCCTGACACTGAAAAATAGCTGTGTTTACCTTTATGGCTTTTGCTACAGTAACGCATATATATTTTTTTTGCCGTTTTATACAGTCACTTGCTGCTATTTTACTGGAGAAATAAGCCTAGTTAAATAAAGAAAGTGTAGTAATAGAAATGCATTTGAGTATAAAATTAGTAGAAGAGAAAACAATGGCAAGGACACACTGTGCCTGTCTCCCAGAAAAGTAAAAAACTAGGACAATCTGAGGACCCTAAATACATAACATGTTAACTCCATATTCAGCTAACACAGAACATTTTGTGTTACAGGTCACCCTACTTGAGCAGAAGCTTAAAGAAAACTGTAAAGTGGATTATAAAGTTAAAATTTACCCTGGACAGACACATGGGTTTGTACATCGCAAAAGAGAAGATATCAATCCTCAAGATAAACCTTATATTGAGGAAGGACGAAAGGATATGATGAACTGGCTGAATAAATATCTTTAGCATAAATAATTGCCCATAAAATAAAACAATTATTGTAGGAAACCAGAAAATAATACAGACTATGTTGATTAAAATGTTCTTAAAGCATCAAAATAATTTGTAAAACTCTTTTTCAATAACACTACTTATTTGCACTTATTTTTGAAGTAGATGCTTAGAAATGGCTTTTCAAATGTTGAAAGCTATAAGTGTGAAAAAGTTCTTAAAATTTGATCTTGTATATCTTCAAATTGTTGGAATCTCTTGTGGGATATTTTCTAGAATCTGAAAGTTTCACTTTTTTATATTAATGTAATATGATAAATAATCATTGAAACTCTGCTCAGACTTGACTAATGCTTTCCTAAAAGGCACGTTTAGAGTTGTTGAGCTGTGGGATATTCAGCTCCAAGTTTTTCTGCTTTGAGATAAATATGGTTCTGGTTTGGAAGGCTGGGACATTTTCTTGGAAACAGAATATCCTATTGAAAATTCATAAAAACAGAGCTAGAAAGAGGGAAGGGGAAGGACAATGGGAAGAAATATATGCAGACTGAGAGAGGATGCAAAAAGTCAGGAACCATGACCAAAGTGAGGGAACTAGAGGAACATGCAGGACCAGAGAAGAAGGACCTGAACAAGTGGAAGAGGACTGGACACAAAGAGGCTGTGAAGAGCAGGAAAACTGAGAAGAGAAAGAAGAACAAAACAGGAACAGGAGACTACTATCAGACCCCAGGAGGAAAATACAAGTGGAGACTTCCAATCTCCCTTCTCCTGCTTCCAAGACTTATCTAGTAAGAGGAGAACTCAAGCAGGCAGGATTTTCTTGTTGGCTGTCACCTAGTTATTTCCTTTAGCATCTTATTATCTACTCCATGTCTAGCAGCTGACTTCTGGATGATCTGTTCTCCTAACTTTCAGGCATTACAGGTATCCTGACAGCACTACAAGTGATAAAAGGTAGCTTCTGTGTTTGTGCTTCTCCATTCCTTGGGGACATCACCTATGCAGTCATAGACCTCATGACTTATGGCTCACAGAGGTGCTTAAATTCCCCAGGGTGAATTTCAAGCCTAGTTATTTTGTTGTATTTTTTCTTCCCTCTCCATACACCTGTACTCCTGTTTGCACTATAAAATTAATTTCATCCAGAATATGGTTAAAATTAACTTATGTGAAGACTGAAACAAAGAGCTCCAGACACCAGCCTTTATCAGACTTTTTTGTATTAGTTCTCCTTCCTGCTAAGGTGCTTTCCTTTGGCCCTTCTCTCATTTTTGATGCATTTACAAATACTTCTATTACTAGGTCTTGATAGCAGTAAACTATGCTGCTGCTTTAGCCTTTTAAACAGTGTGCGTTGTTCCTTTCCTCTTGTCCTCAGAGACAAGAGTAAAGGAGTCACTCAGAGAGTGTGCCCCCCCTTTGCAAGCCTCCTATTTGATTGTGAAACGCTTGCAGACATCTAGATACAGCTGCAATGGCCTCTTGCTGTTCTGTCTGCCATTCCTCCATAACAGGATCACCTGGCACTTGATGTCTCTTTCACTAAGCACCAGAGTCCTCCACTCCTTTCTCCATCACAATATTCTCATCAGAAGACCCAGCACCATCTGAGTTCCTGATGCTGCTCCTTCCTTCTTCTTTTGGGAAAGTATATTACATTATTTCACAATCAGCCTGATGCAAATCCTGTCATCTCTTGTGGTCTCAGGCAGTTGCCATACACCCCACCCCTCATTCAGAGTGGAATCTGAACCAATCTGGATGACAATATTACCTCCTCAGGTCCACAAATACGTCTAGTATTGTTAAGTTTCTCTCTTCCGTGATTTAGTTTGGTATCAGGATTGGTAATGCACAGCCCATTCCCAGTGACTAGGGAAATATCATCGTTTTTCTGCTTCTTTGGTCCCTCTCAGTGTAATTAATCCTATGATTCTAATTTACAGTAATCATGTGGTGAGGTCTTGTGATGCTGAGAGAATAGATGTGGCAAAAATATTGTACTGAACATGGCCCAGTTTCCCCTCAGTGGAATGTATGTAAGCCCAGGGAGCCCTCAGATTTCACAGAACATTGCTCTTCATGGTGCAGCCCTTCAATAATTTCCATTGCCCCACAATATTTTTTTCTTTTTGAAGTCCCCTTTCACTGCCAGATGTGCCTGGCAGCTCATTCATGCAGTCACCTTCCATGTGGCTCACTTCTAGCCAGGGGCACATGCCAGGCCAACCCTAAGTGCTCTGTGTTGGAGCTGCAGCCCCACATTTTTAACTCCCGTCTGCTTTGGAGTCTCCCATCAGATGTTTCCCACCTCAGATCCCACATCCTGAGTGGTTCTTCAGCCGTCCCTCCATCCTGAACCACTTCTTCACATCACTCCTTCCACTTCCTCCTGCAATGCACCACGAATCTCCCATGAGAAAATACTTTTCCTTGCACCACACTGACTTGATACTAAAGAAACTTCCCTGTCTTTCAAAAAGATGTCATGCAGACCCCAGAGGTAAAAGTGCAAAAGCTTCTCTTGCTCCTTGGCTTATGCCCTTGGTCAGTGACCAGTGCTCTTTTCTGGCTCGGACGCTGCATGTTGCATTCCCATATCCTTGATGCTTGATTTCAGGAGAGATGAGCCTGTTCTCAGAGCCACATCTGATGCATGTGCCTGTGCAGCTCTGGGGTAGCTGGAGGATAACAACGCACAAACCCTCCCTGAAGAAAGCAACATGGGTATGTTCTTCAGACATAGTTCCTCAGTCTGTGAAGGGTGAATTTAATTTCCGGCTAAGGATCCGTCTCCAATTTATCAGTGTTGCTATGAGAACAGGCAGAGATGGTAAAATTGAACTCACCACAACTATTGTCTCACATGGATTTTAAATAAAAGAGCCTTGGTTTCTGAGAAGGTAGTATCTTGGCTGACAAACCGTTCCAGCTTGGTTTTTTTTTTATACGCATGAACAGGTGTCTCAGGGAACTCAGCTAAGCTTTGCCAAATTTCTCCTGAGACAGGAGAAGACTGCAAAACTGAGGAGTACTCTGTCAAAATTCACTGTCCTGGGAGAACTCAGAGTGGCTGCAACATGTATTGCATGTCACTATGTATTTGTTTTCATAGAAATACAGCCTCTAACATGGGCACCTCAGAATTTTGCTGGTGTTAACATCTACTTCACTAAAACACACACACATTCTCAAAACTCACAATTGAGAATATCCTTTGTGTCTAGAGAGCATTTACATATAGGTATATAGGTTAGGCATTACAAATTCAGGTTTGTAACATTCAGTTCTGCCCAATCTAGCAGCCTTGACATGAAGTAAATCAGCTGCAAAAAGACCACGGAGGCTGACATAGTAGACGTAGGTAAGGCCTGTAGATTTAGTTTAGACATTAGGAAAAAGTTCTTCAGTATGAGGGTGATAGACCACTGGAATAGGTTGCCCAGACAGGTGGAGGAGGCCCTGTCCCTGGGGATCAGGCTGGATGAGGCTCTGTGTAGCTTGATCTAATTGGAGATGTCCCAGCTTATGGCAGGGGGTTTGGACTAGATGACCTCTGGAGGTCCCTTCCAGCCCAGACATTCTATGATTCTACACTTTTGTTTGGATTCATCTGTTCTTTGTATTATTTCATTTGCTAGCTGGCTGGTCAACACACAGAGAGCCTGAACTGTTTGTATAGGGCAGCTGTCAGAGGATACAGGAGGGAAGTGGGTTAAAGAAATGTGGGGGGCAACTGAGATACAAGGGAGTATGAGGGCAGAGGGGATGGGCCGAGGGTAACCCTGGGGATAATGGTGAATTAAGAACCTCTTGGGGGCAATTGTACTGTCTGTAGATGAAATGGGAGAGCCCAGAGGACCCCTAATGTCACCTTTTGTGGACTGTGGGATTTTGGCCACTGAGCAGGTGTTATACTGAGGAAGGTTCATAGCTGATGTGTGAGGAATCCTTACGACATGAGTAAAAAAAGTTGTATGGACTAAAACGAAAGAGGTCTCCCAGAGGAAAACTTCAGGGACTGGAGGCAGATAGGACAGCAGAACATGTTGGATATTAAAGTCCTGAAGAACAAGAGCACATATCCTGTTCACTGCTGATAATCTCCTATTCACAAGAAGATTGAGGTACTTTATATGAAAATACTAAATCACAGCTTGAATCTGAACCACTGCATCCTCTGCCTTCCTGGAAGCTGAATTCCAGGTTTTGATCTCTGCTCTTTGGCACAAGTATTTTGGTAGGATCTCATATCTGTAGTTTAACCTTATGGCAATGATTTTTAATCAATGAGACAATTCTTTGACTCTGCTTCATTTTCTGCATTGGTGTTTTTTTGGTTTTTGTTTGTTTGTTTGTTTGTTTGTGTTTGTTTTTGTTTTTGTTTTTTCTTTTTTCGTTGTCATATCTGAACTGGATAGTTACTGTTTTATCCTAATATTTTTTCTCAAGTTTATTGACTCCTAAACTCCAAACAGAAATGGGCTTTCAGAGTACAGGCCAGAGTCAGGAAGGACAAAGAAAAGAAACCCAGTCCCCATGCACACACGCATGCATATGTAGCAGCAATGGTAGTCCCATAAAGCAATGTGCACTCAGTCAGTATTAAACAGAGGAAAAGAATATGTTCTGGCCTGCAGGCAGTATGGCATCTATGCTTTATGGTAGATTATAACAGACTGTGCACTTTTATGTCCCTCTATGTATTGCCTGCTGTACTACTGTGAGGACCAGTTCTCCTTCCTCAGCTGCAATCTCTGGCTCCAAGGAACTCTGCTGCTAGGTCTTGGAGGGATTATTTTTCTTTTTTCTCTTCAGAGCAGGCCCGAGGGAGGACGCTGAACAATTGCTGTGCTGGATTAGTGAGGCTTTGGGGCTGGGGGACTGACCAGAAGTTGAACTTAATGGAACTTGGGGATTTGATAGAAGAGGTGGTAGAGGTGACTACACCTGTAGATTATACTCCATCCCATCTGAGGGCCTTTCTGCAACTAATTTTGGCCACTTCCTTAGGCACACTAAGCTTGTTATTTAGGACTGTAGCTGTCTGCCTAGCACATGCTTTAATCATGCTGGACTTTGTACCTTTAATTGACACTTCAATGTGTTTCTCCACA